TGGCAGAACTGCACCCTCAAATTCAGGTGCTGGAGGGCTGGCTGGGGCAGGGCAGGGCAGGGGCGGGCAGCAGGGTGGGCATCCCAGCCCCCTGCGGCATTTGCTGCTGCCAGCACCTTGGCTCGCTGTCAGGGCGCAGCAAGAAGGGAGTCTGCAGGTGACTTGGTGGCCTGAGTCCGTCGTGCTGGAGGTCAGGGTGGGTGGGTGGTGGGTAACAGTAGCAGGCACAGCCCCTCATCTCCCGTCCCCTCTGGCCGCGGGCCAGCTCCCTGGCGTACAGTGCCCTGGAGATCAGCATGCACTTGAAGACGGATACCGACCCGAAGACAGGCAAGGATTACGCGGTGGAGTGGATCATCATCGACCCTGAAGGCTTCACGGGTAACACTTGTGCTCTCTGCTGTGTCCTGGGCTCAGGGGCACCTTGGCATTAGAGGACTCTGCCCAGGAGACACCTGAGTACCTGGGGCTTTGGCACCCTGGCACCTATCCCACCAGGCTTGGAACTACCCAGACCCAGGACAGGGAGACTGGGTGCTGGTGGGGCTGGTGAGGATGGGCATGGCGGGAGTCTCCCATGCCATGCACTGTCACATGTGCTCCGGCAGAGAATGGGGAATGGGAAATCATCCACCGTCCGGCCCGCAAGAACATCCACCCTGACAACCCCCGTGAGAGCAGCGAGCACCAGGACATCACCTTCTACCTCATCATCAAGCGCAAGCCGCTCTTCTATGTCATCAACATTGTCACGCCCTGCATCCTCATTGCCTTCATGGCCATCCTCGTCTTCTACCTGCCTGCCGACAGTGAGTGAGCCCCAACGCATCTGTGACGGGCATGGGGGTCACCCTATGGGGCACCTCTGTGTCCCACACCTGCACCAGGTCCTGGGACATGAGGACATCCAAATGCCCAGCACAGGGACATCCTGGCACTGGCACAACCCCACGCAGGACACCATCATCCCAGCCAGGCAGCCTGGCAGGGGCACACTTGGACACAGGATACCCCATGTGGGACCCTGGGGTACCCCCACAATAGAACACCCTGTACGGGGCTCTGTTCGGAGGGACACTGGGAGGACAATGCTAGCCCTGGGGACACTGAGAGGGGGACCTGGGGCAGGGGTGGCCCTGAGCTCACCTGCTCTCCAGGTGGTGAGAAGATGACGCTGGTGATCTCGGTGCTTCTGGCCCAGTCTGTCTTCCTTCTGCTCATCTCCCAGCGCCTGCCTGCCACCTCCCACGCCATCCCCCTTATTGGCAAGTGAGTCCTGGGCACCCCCGGGCACAGGAGGGACATCATGGATCCCTGGGGTGCCAGAGGGCAGTTCTGCCTGTGCCCAGCCCCTGTAGCAATGCCAGCCCCAGGTTCGTGCCCCCACAGGTACCTGCTTTTCATCATGCTGCTGGTGACGGCCGTGGTGATGATCTGCGTTGTGGTCCTCAACTTCCATTTCCGCACGCCCAGCACCCACATCATGTCTGACTGGGTCAAAGAGGTGAGTGGGGTGCTGGGGGTGCGGAAATGGAAGTGGAGGATGGGTGACCTGGTGGGTGCAGAGGTGGCACCATGGAGGGTGTGGGCCAGCACTGCCCTGGCATTGCATCGGCGTGTCGCATCTGTGCCACTCTGAGGAGCTGCACACCCCGGTTGGGGACAGAAGGTGGGCACAAGGTAGCATTGCACCAAGGAGGAGGCCGAGGGACCTGACACCACCTTCTGTGTGCCAGGTGTTCCTGGAGACCCTGCCCCGTCTGCTGGGCATGTCGCAACCAGCCCAGAGCCCGGTGGATGCCCTGTGCATCCGGCGCTGCAGCTCAGCCGGCTACATCGC